GGAAGCGACAGATCCTTTAGAAGGCTGCTGCCTGATAGAGGTGGTGGTAGTGAAGTGGAGGGCAGGGGAAATCTGAAAGATGGTTGTGTGGTTCATGATATTTGGTGGCTGTGTGTAGGGAGACAGGACAGGGCATCACCATGTGATCTGTAAGGCCTCCTCTGACTTGGTGTGCCCATCCCTGCTGCAGCTCAGCCCCACCGTGGGCACGAGGCTAAGTAACCACACTCACTTGACTGAGTCCCAGAGCCCAGCATGATGTGGAAGATAGGGCATTAGGGCCAATGGACTCCTGTGCTCCAGTGTCCTTGCAGAGGGTCCTTGTAGAATGCCTCCAGGTGCCATGTGCTCTGCTAAACACCTTCCATGGATAAGCACATTGTGTTTTTCCCACAAGTCTGAAATAAGAATGTGCTTGGTATATGTCACTCACTTTAATTGTAGTATCATGTAATCCCAGGTTTCTGGGTGGAGGGTGGGGGCAAGACTTAAGGAGTTTAAGGAACTTACTCAGGTCACACAGCTTGCTTTGGTGCCAAGGCTTTAGCCAAGTCCATCTGACTCCGGAGCCTGCACTCTTAACTCTGCCTTAACTCCCCCTTAGTCCTATGGAGACAAAATGGGGGTGACCAAGAACAGCATATGCAAAGAACCAGAGGCGTAAAGGTCAGCGCATCAAGATGGCTCAAGCACAAGGTCTAACACTGGGAGAGGATGGCCAGAGATGAACAGGAAGTAAGCTCAAGAGGCGAGAGCTTGCAGGTATAGTGGCAAGGTCCAGCACCCGGGTTTCAGAGGCTTGCGTGTGCATGTGCATGTGTGTGTGTGTGCAGTGTGTCTGTCTGTCTTGCAGGGGTGGGTGTAGTGCAGGCAGCCCAGCAGACTGGCTTTGGGCTTCCCATCCCTCTTCTGCCTGAGTAATACCTTTTATTTTTTTTTTTAAGATTTTATTTATTTATTCATGAGAGACACAGACATAGGCAGAGGGAGAAGCAGGCTCCCTGTGGAGAGTCTGACGCGGGACTCGATCCCAGGACTCTGAGGTCACGACCTGAGCCAAAGGTCAGGTCAGTGAGCCACCCAGGTCACAACCTGAGCCAAAGGCTCAACCAGTGAACCACCCAGGCGTCCGTTTTTTTTTTCTTCTTTTCTTTTTTTTTAAAGATTTATTTATTTCTTTATTTGAGAGAGAGGAGAGAGTGAGGGCAGGGAGCAGAAGGAGAGAGAGGAAACTCAGTACAGAGCCCAATGCGGGATTTGATCTCTGAGATCATGACCTGAACCGAAATCAAGAGTCAGACACTCAACTGACTGAGCCACCCAGGTGACCCTGAGCAATACCTTTCATAATTGTTGGACATTTTAGGCCGAATAGAAAGACTCCCATCTGATAAAAGGATTCTGATGCTAAAAACAGGCATATAAACAGGTTGAAAACCATGCAGGTGCTAGGGACCGGTGGGGTTTTTGGTGGAGGACTAATGTCATTGTGTTGACATGTTAAAAGCCTTGCTCTGGCTGCCAGTGTAGAGAATGAGTAGGAAGCAGGTGGGAGAGGGACCTGCCAGGAAGTTGCTGGAGTTATTTTGGGCTAAGAGTAAAAGAATATGGCGTGTGAGGTTTTCCTGAGAAAGTATTAACCAAAAGATAGAGGTAGAGGCTGGTTGCAACAACACAGGTGAGTTTTGAGGATACAGAAGTTGCCATTAGGACCAGAAAGCTATCCTGGAAAGTCCCCTGTGCCTGCATGAGGTGAAGCGGGGAGGAGGCAGCTGAACTGGACCGAAGCCTTACAATTGCCTGTAGTTAGGAAAGAAATTAGGCCCTGGTGTCACCCACTACAGCTCCGCATTTTACAGGTAAAAACATGAAGGTCTGGAGAGGTCATTATGACCTGTCTGAGGTCCCTGAGCAGGCTCCAACCCAGACCTATGCTCTTGGTCCATTGTCCATCCTTCTCATGGGAGCCCTGGCCTTGAAACACTACTGTCTAGTGGAGCAAAATAAGAGATAACAGAGCCTGAAATCTCCAGTTGTCCTGAAGACTCAGAGAAGGTATTGATACATTTGGTTAGGCCAAGCCTTGAAGGATGAACCAGAGTTTTGACAGAGATGGAGGAAGGACATTCCAGTGCGGGGACTGACACGAGAAAGACCCAAAAGGAGTTTATTAGCAGAAGGAACTTAACATTATTGGGCACTTCACATACGTTGTCCTATTTAGTCCTCCAATAAAGCTTCGAGGTTGGAATTGTTCTTGTTTTACCGTGAAGACCAAGGCTCAGAGGTAGAGGACAGAGGCTGGGTTCCCACCCAGACATCTTCAGTTCCAGCCTATGTGTGGAGGGCAGAATGTGTCTTCACTCTCCACCCACTAGGTTTCAGTGGCTCCCAGTATGGGTAGGGTCTTTGGAAAGGGTCCCATGGGTGGCCGACTGTCTCTTCAAAAGGGCAGAAGGCGGGGATCCCTGGGTGGCGCAGCAGTTTGGCGCCTGCCTTTGGCCCAGGGCGCGATCCTGGAGACCCGGGATCGAATCCCATGTCAGGCTCCCGGTGCATGGAGCCTGCTTCTCCCTCTGCCTGTGTCTCTGCCTCTCTCTCTCTCTCTCTGTATGACTATCATAAATAAATTAAAAAAAAAAAAAGGCAGAAGGCATGGACCCAGGCCTGAGAGCCTGACCTTGTCCAAGTCGCTGTGGCTGGAGGGTTTAGTCAGGGTGCGGCTTTGGAGACTGAGTTTTGCTTGCTCAGACTACTAGGGATAGACCCAAAGGGAATGATTCTGGAACTTCATCCTTAGTATGGAAGCAGAGTCCAGTTCACATCTCCAGAGGGGGGTCACGATCTTTAAGAACTTCGTTAGAGCATGGAGCCCTTGTTATTTCCCCACAGTGTTTTTACTCTGTTCCGTTACAGTGATCAATAAAACCCTGAGGGGAAGAAGAGGACTTCCATTTTGTGGATTCCTACTGTGTGACCAGCACTACCTTTCATTTCTCACCTAAACCTTTCTAAAACCCTGTGAGTTAGGTATTACCAGACTCATTTTCCAGAGAAGTCCACTGAGGCTTGCAGAGATGAAGTGAGTTCCCCGGGGTCCCACAGTTACACATAGTGGAGCTGGGAGTTAGAGCAGGCTTGACTGCAAAGCCCACCCTAGTTCAGGCAGCTGGGATGCTGTGGTTAAGAAGTGATACTTATCTGAGGCCAATCCCATCACCCAGGTAGAGGGGAGAGGGCTGGGGGCCATCCAGTAGAAGGGAACCGCGCAAAGCCCGGGGGCTGCAGGTGGTTGGGAATTTGTCAGGGCTAAGTGGAGGGTTGAGGTGGTGTGGGGAGGCAGCACCCACCAGCTCTGGGAGGGCCAGGACTATGGGGAAAAGATTTGAGTTATACTCTGCGGTGATATGGAGCCAGGGAAGGAAACTGGGAAGGGGAGCACCCATGTCAAATGTACTTTAAAAACTTCCCTCTGGGGCACTGTGGGTGCTGAATCAACAGGGGCTACCCTACAGGCCTCGAGGGAGGTGGCCCAGCCTACACCAGAGACTGCAGGGCCTGACCTGTGACAGCAGTGGCACCCAGTGTGGAGGCTGCTTCTGAGCTGCACTGGGAGGAGAGGCAGGGCTGCCAGGTGGGTCTGCCCCGCCACTGCTCTTCTCTGCTCTTCCTCTAACCACTGGGCTGGGCAGGGCTGCTTCCTTCTGCTGCCAGAATTCTAAACCGCTTCACCACCCAGGGATCCCCAGCTGCCAGAATTCTACCCATCGAAGCCACTTGCAGTCTCCAGAGGTTTTGCGACACTGAGAGGGGTTTGTAAGGTTGGGACCAGGGCCCTGAGACACAAGGTAGGACCTTCTGGGCCTGGCCCGAGGCAGTGGACAAGGCTGTTGGAACACTCAGTTGGCCTGGTTTTAGCAGCTGAGCCACATCAGTTTGCCATCATGGACTTTAAGGTCCCTGTCTATGAAATGGATGGCTCAGCCCCACCTCACAGGGGTTAATAAGCCATAGAAAGAGCCCACAATGCATGAGCTCGTGTTCTAGTAGGAATTCACATAATGCCTCATTTAATCCTCACAACACCCCTGTGAGATCGAAACTACTGTTCTCCCCATTTAACAGATGGAAAACTGAGGCTGAGGAGCCTTAGAGATGTGACTGCAGCCTGCTGAACAGTCTTCCAGGGGAGGCAGCTGGGGACAGTGGGCAACATCTTCTTGGAGAGGGACCCAGCCTTGGGTGGGCCTGGGCTTCAGGCTTGTCCTCCGGTGGCCTGATAGGATTTGGACAGGGGAGAAGTCAGTTTTTTTCTTCCTCTCTTTAGGGATTTGGGTCGGTTCTGAACACCTGACAGCAAACTCCTCACCTCCATCTCAGGACCAGCTGCTCATCTCCCAAACAAGCTCTGGTTTACACTGTACTCCTGTCAGGGAAGCTCGGAGATGAGAAACCACAGACCAAGCTGAAGGTCACTCCCTGCTTGTTCACTTAAAGTAGCTGCTCAGATCTCCAGTAAATTCCTAGAAAGAGCCCAGCTCTTTACCTGTCCCTTGCCTTGGGACTTCTCCCTCTGCTTACTGGCTTCAGTTAACCTCACTGGGCCTTAGTCTGCACATCAGTAAAATGGAATAGTAGTACCTACCTCACATGGACATAAGTCCTCAATGTTGGCCACTGCTCCTCATGCCCAGACCTGCCTTTTAGCTTGGCCCCTCTCTTCCCTCCCCCAGCTCTCAGCTCAGGGAGGCCCTCCTGTCCCATCTCTCGCACACCTGTCTCCCAGATCTGTGGGCCTCTGGCACTTTTACAACTGGAATTTAGTTCACTTATTTACTCATTTTTTTTCTCTCTCCCACTAGAATGTCAACCCCAGGGGAGCTTTTCTTTTCTTTTTTTCTTTTTTCTTTTATATATATAAATTTTAAAGATTTATTTATTTATTCAGAGAGAGAGACAGAGAGAGGCAGAGACACAGGCAGAGGGAGAAGCAGGCTCCATGCAGGAAGCCCGACGTGGGACTCGATGCCGGGTCTCCAGAATCGCACCCTGGGCTGAAGGCAGGAGCCAAACCACTGAGCCACCCAGGGATCCCCCAGGAGAGCTTTTCTGTCATGTTCGCTGCTGCATCCTCAGAGCTCAGAACAGAGTAGATGCTTATTAAAACAAAACAAAACAAACAAAAACAAACAAGTCATACCCCTCTCCCTCTCCAAGCTGTGAAATGAGGGTAACTGCCAACATTGCAAGACTATCTTAAGGATGAGTGATGTTTTAAAAGGGGAGGCTGTGCATGGGGAGACCCACCCTGGCCCAGCCCCTTGGAGAGGAAGCTAAGAAACCCACCCTGACTGGAAATCTCCCAAGAACCCTTGAAGAAGGGATTATCAGTCATATGATACTGAGGATGAATCTGGGACCCATTAGCTCCCCAGGTCACAAAGTGAGTGACTGTGCTTGTGGTCTTTATTGTGCCCACTGGCACAATGGCACCTCCTCTACACTTGCTCTTATTACCAACATAAACCCCGTCTCCAGGAAGCCTTCCCTGATTGCCCTAGGACATTCTCTGCCTAGCAGCTCCTGTTCCCCTGGAGGCAATTTCTGAAATGAGGATTAGTGGGCTGACATTGATTAGAGGATTGTTGAGATCAACACCTGTTTTGGGGAGGAACTGTAGGAAGTGGGACTGAGCAGAGGGAGAATTTAGCTGTGATGTAAGAACAATGGGCTCAATCAGCCCCCTGAAGAGTGATGATGCTGGGTTTGACCTTCAGAGCTGGGGCAAGAGAGCCAGGCCTCTACCCCTCAGTAGATCAACAGATCAACACTGGATTCGGTCAGCCCTGAGGGGTAGGCAGTTCCCGGAGGGTGCTGTGAGCACAGCATCATCACTGTCATCACCGTTAAGAGCAGCACTCCCAGCAGCTGGGGGGGGGGGGGTACTGGAAATGGGAGGAGGAGGCTGTGGGTGTCTGCTATTTCCTAGCGTCCTCTATTGTCTGACATAGGATGCTCGCTTGCCTTCATCCCTGCCTCCCAGATCCAGATCCAGTGCCCGGCCTTGGAGACGGGGCACTGGGCAGCAACCCTGAGTTCCAAGTTTAAGACTCATCCAAGTCTGAGGACCTAAGGAGGCTCCCAGGTAGGCTTGCCCTGAAATTCCTCGCCCGTATGGCAGCGTCCAGACTCAGTGCGTCTCAGCGTCCAAACTCAGGAGCACTGCCAGAAATGTCACAGAGGAGAAAGGGTGGTGAGGACAGTTCTTGTCATTCAGTTCTTATGGTATGGCTGGCTCTGGCTGAGCATGTCCCCCCATCCATTGTCTCATTTTCACACACCCTCCCAACCCCCGCTGTGGCAAGAGCCCCACCGACAACTGAGGAAACATGCTGAAGGACTCTGAAAGACATGAAGCTGCACACCTGGCTTCTTGGAGCTTTCTAGCAGAAAGGGGCTGAGCTCTGAAACCCCAGAATCCAGGAGGTGTGACTGCTAGGATAGTTTATATTAACCCTTTGGATACATCCTGCCATTTGCTCTCAAGAAAGATATTGACACTCCCCATCCCAGCAGCACTTTTGAGGTTGGCACTGCTATAACCCTTTCCCTCCCACAGTCAACACTGGCAAGGACCTGGGGGCTGCTGTCTTGGGGGGGCCCTGGGGACTTGGGTCTTGTGGATGAGCCGGACACCCCCCAATCCTCCTCCATCTTGATGTCCCCCTGCTCCAGGGCCTGCTGGATAGAGTCAGCAATGGTGTTGAAGGCCAGGTCCACATTGCAGTTATTTTTAGCAGAGGTCTCCATGAAGGCCATGCCCAGGGAGGCAGCCAGCTCCTCCGCCTCCTGAGCGGAGACACAGCGGGTGCTCCGCAGGTCACTCTTGTGGCCAACCAGTAAGAAGATCACTTTGTCGGGGCCCTGAGTGGCTATGACCTCCTGATGCCAGTCGCAGATATGTTCAAAAGACTTCCTGTTTGTCACATCGAAGACCAGTAGGACACCCACCACATTTCGGTAGAAGGACCTGGTGATGCACCTGAAGGAGAGGGAGTGAGCTGGGAGACGTCTATACCTTCAAGGCCCCCCCAAGCTTGGGGCAGGGCTTTCCCTGCGCCCAAGCTCCTCATAGCTCCCTACACACTGCCAGGTACTTCTCTGCTCCGGTGTCTGTCTCTCACAATATAGTGCCTGTGTCTCAGCCATGGAACAAGCTCGAGTCACATCCTCTCTGGACCATTCCTCCATTTCTGGAGGAAAAGGGATGTTTTCCTGGAGGTTTTTTTTTTTTTTATGATAGTCACACAGAGAGAGAGAGACACAGGCAGAGGGAGAAGCAGGCTCCATGCACCCGGAGCCCGACGTGGGATTTGATCCGGGGTCTCCAGGATCGCGCCCTGGGCCAAAGGCAGGCGCCAAACCGCTGCGCCACCCAGAGATCCCTTTCCTGGAGCTTTTTACAGCTTTTTGCTTCCAGTTCTCTGCCTGGCCAACTCCTAAGGCATCCTTCCAGGCTACCCCAACCCTCTCCTACTTTCCCGTGTCTCTGATCCTTCTCGCTCTGCTCTAGTGGGCTCTCTCAGCAGCCAGGTCACCCATCCCTCGGGTCTCCGAGGCAGGGCCCTTGCGCCCTCCCAGCGCCAGGGTGTCAGGCCTCTGGGTGAGGGGCTTGGCCCACCGGCTGCATCTGTGGGACGAACGACTCCACGTGGAGGGCCAGAGACCAGGGCAGGGGCCCCCAGGTCTGTACCTGGACCACTGAGGCCGAGCCCTCTGGGGGGACTGCCTCCCCCCCAGGTCCCTCATCCCGCCCCGCCCGCACCTGAAGCGCTCGTGGCCCGCCGTGTCCCAGAGCTGCAGCTTGACGCGCGGCCCGGCCCGCAGCTGCAGCATGCGGCTGTAGAACTCGACGCCCACCGTGGGCGCCGGCTCGGGCTCGGGCTCGGGCTCCGGGGTCCCGGGCGCGCCCGCCACGTAGCGCCGCAGCAGCGACGTCTTGCCCACCGCCGCGTCCCCCAGCAGCGCGATCCGGAACTGGTAGCGGCAGCCCCCCGCGGCCATGGCCTGGGTCCCGCCGCCCCGCCGCCCAGCAGCCCAGCAGCCCAGACTTCGGTGGCCAGCTGCCCCGCCCCGCCCAGCAGCCCCGCCCAGCAGCCCCGCCCCGCCGCCGGAGGCTGGCAGCCAGGCCCCGCCCCCCGCTGCCCCGCCCCGCCGCCGGAGGCTGGCAGCCAGGCCCCGCCCCCTCGCTGCCCCGCCCCGCCCCCCGCTGCCCCGCCCCGCCCCGCCGTCGGACACCAGCTCCTTGCCCCGCCCCTCAGCCCCGGGCGGCAAGACCCTGGGCACGTTCCTGTCCTCTCTGGGGGCCCCAGTTTCGTCCTCTAGTAACCCCTACTACGCGGGATGGGAGATTAAAGAAGGCAATATGGGGAGGAGGACGAGCGGGGCCCGAGAACCAGACAGGCCCTGGCCCGAGCTTAACACCCCGAGCGGCCAACTCCTTCAGTCGCCGCCGGGCCGGCTTCTCTCAGCCCCACTCTCCGGGCAGTTCCCTGGTTGGGCCCCTGCGGCCGGAGCTGGAGACCCTAGTCTAGAAAGTTGGTGGCTTACAGGTGCCCCTTCCCCACCCAGGTGACCCTTTCCCGGAGCCCCACTGGCCCTGGCGCAGGGCCTCCCAGGGCCTTCGGTTCAATGGTCAGGTTCAATGTTCAACAGCCCCCCCACTGCGTCCTCAGCACCTGCCCGGGCTGGGCCTCAGGGCTCAGGGAGAGATGCCAACAGGGCTGGCAAGCAGGCAGACATAGGCGAAAGCCATTCCAGAGGGAGTGCAACTGGCCTGTGGAGCGGACAACTTACATTTATGAGGCCAGAGGGTCAGTTCTTCACGCTCAGCGGGCAACAACTTTGAGAGGGCCATAGTGTGCCCATTTTAGAGCCAAGGAGACTGAGGCTTGTCTCAGGTCACAGAGCAGAGCTGAGACTCACATACGAGTTTGTCTCACTCTGCATTACCCCTTGAGCCCACAAAGGGGACTGCAAACCAAGTACCTAGAGGACGGAACACAGTGATCCGGTCCCACTTGGGTTAGTGGCAAGGGTAAGCCATCTCCAAGAGCCAGTCTACCCTCTCCAGTCAGGGCCAAGGTTGGGTTTCTGGCTGGTCCCAAAACAGTTCCTCTGTTGGTTTACTTTATTTTTTTAAAGATTTTATTTATTCATGAGAGAGAGGCAGAGAGACCCAGGCAGAGGGAGAAGCAGGCTCCCTGCAGGGAGCCTGATGTGGGACTCGATCCTGGAACTCCAGGATCATGCCCTGACCGGAAGGCAGACACTCAACTACTGAGCCACCCAGGCATCCCTCCTCTGTTGGTTTAATCTCACTGTGCACTGTGGGTGGACTTTACCATTTTCACTTGTTTTGGCAAATTTGTGGTGAGAGAAAATCCTCACTATTGCAAACTATCAAATCATCATGTTTCCTTTTCACAGAACCTTGCAAGATGTTGCTATTCTGGTCATATTTACAGATGAAGAAATTGAGACTCAGAGAGTGACCCTGAGGCTCCATGGTCACTAAGGAAGACTAGCTGCCAACTTTTCTCAAGGTCAAAGCCTTTTTTGCTATTTCTGTGTCTGTCTGGACAGGTTGAGGATCTGGGAAGGCCCAGGTTTTCTTCTAGCTATTTTTTAAAATGTATGTATGTATGTATGTATGTATGTAAATAAGTAAGTGATGTCTACACCCAAAGTGGGGCTTGAATTCATGACCCCTAGATCAAGAGTCACATGCTCTACCAACTGAGCCAGCCAGGTGCCCTTCTTCTGTTTAACTCCTAACAAATCAATAACAAGCCATTTTGACAGGTCTCCACGTAATCACCTGCATGGTAGAGCCGAGAGGGGCCCCTATCTCTGCTCATCCCCCACCTCTAGGAGTAGTAGAGAGAGAGGAGCCTGAGAATCCAGGAACCCTGAGGAGCCTCAGGAAAAGTGTGTTCTGGGAAGAATCCTTCCTGCCAGCTTTGCCCAAATCAGCCTGCCCCACTGATTCCTCGATCGAGATATTTTCTCCATCTCACTCTGTTTAGCTGGAAAAATATATTTCTCTAAGATTTTATTTATTTATTCATGAGAGACACACAGAGAGAAGCAGAGACACAGGCAGAGGGAGAAGCAGGCTCCATCCTGGGGATCTCAGGATGCCGGGATCACAACCTGAGCTGAAGGCAAGATGCTCAAACACTGAGCCACCCAGATGCCCCTGTAAAAATATTTTGTGTCAAGTCCCTAGGATGCCTCTGGCCCCTTCTTTACCCACCACTGGTACTCTGAGCTCCAGCCATGCTGAACATCTTTCCTCCTCTCAGCCCTCTGCTGGGACTCTTCTCCTCTTCAAAGGGCTAACTCCTACTTCAGACCTTAGGTTAGATCCCTGTCCCTCAGGAAGCCTCTCACTGGCCAATGAGGTCACATGCTCTTCTGTCCACTGCGATAGCTGTCTCCTTCCTAGGTTACTTGAGGGCAGACATGAATGGTTGTATCCTCAGTGTGTAGCACAAAGGAGGAACTCAGCAAATAGTTATGCTTGAAAGGATGAATGAAAGTGGGTAAGTGCTATTGAGTCATTAATTAATTCAGTCAAATCCCACAAAAGGGCTGGACTGAGGGAGCTACAGGGTCAGCATTGCCTCCTGCAGGACGCTGGGTCTCCCAGGAAAAGTAAGAGCTAGGGAGTTCCAGGAGGAAGGGCGCTCCAGGAAGGAGCAGCTGGAGCAGAGGCAGAGGGGCCTGAAACAGCTTGAAATGCAGTTTGAACCCAGCATTCCCAGAAGCCTTTGTGGTCAGCACGTGGGCAGTGCACTGTCAGCATTCAACTCTTTGAACTTCCTCTCTCAGACACTCCCGCTGTGGGCCAGGGTCAGGTGCCTGCCCCCCCACCCTCATCCCCCAGCATCTAGCCCCAGAATCCAGATGTCAGCAGACCTTGCCAGAGATTCACTAATGTGACTAGGGGTGGGGCTAGTGATGTTTCCTCCCTACCCTGCTTCCCCTTCTGCTAAGTAAGCAAGTCATAGAGCCCACCTCACAGAGTAGTTCTGGAGAACATGCAACACGGCAGGCGAGTTGCACACATTTGTATGAGATCTAGGTGGCCTTGGCCAAGTTTTATTCAGTAATTCATTCATTTATTTGTTTTGTTTTAAAATATTTTATTTAGTCAACAGAGAGAGAGAGAGCACAAGCAGGGGAGTGGTGGGCAGAGGCAGAGGGAGAAGCAGGCTCTCCATCAAGTACACAGCCAAGTAGAGATGGATGCAGGGCTTGATCCCAGGACCCTGGGATCATGACCTGAGCCGAAGGCAGATGCCCAACCGACTGAGGCACCCAGGTGTCCCTAATTAACTAATTTACATAGTAATTGAGAAGTGCTAACTATCTTTTATATACCAGGCACTTACACAGCAATGAAAATTAAAAAAAAAAAACCACAATTCCTGTTTGGGGGAGCTCACATTGTAATGGGGAAGACAAAATAAATCCATATATAATATGATAGCAAAAAGCCCCAAGTGCTATAAATAACAACCAAGGGCAGCCCGGGTGGCTCAGCGGTTTAGCGCCACCTTCAGGCGAGGACGTGATCCTGACGACCGGGGATTGAGTCCCGCGTCAGGCTTCCCGCATGAAGCCTGTGTCTCCCTCAACCTGTTTCTCCCTCTGCCTGTATCTCTGCCTCTCTCTCTCATTAATAAATAAAAATTTTTAAAAATCTTTTTTTAAATTTTATTTTATTTTATTTATTTATGATAGGCACACAGAGAGAAAGAGAGGCAGAGACATAGGCAGAGGGAGAAGCAGGCTCCATGCACCGGGAGCCCGATGTGGGATTCGATCCTGGGTCTCCAGGATCACGCCCTGGGCCAAAGACAGGCGCTAAACCGCTGCGCCACCCAGGGATCCCCAATTTTTAAAAATCTTTAAAAAATAAATAACAAGCAAGCAGGACAGTGGCTTGAAGGGTGACAGGGTGCTGTTTCAAAACAGGGTATTCTGAGGAGGTGACTAGAACAGAAAACCAGGGGCTGTGAGGAAGTGAGTAGTGTGGTTGTCTGTGATATCCAGAGGATAGTTCCAGGCAGGGAGAACAGCAAGAGCAAAGGCCCTGAGCTGGGACCAGGCAAGGGCAGAGAATAAATGAGGAAGCAAGTGGTGAGTGATGAGGGTAGAGAGGAGGAGGAGTCAAATTATCTGTGGCTTCAGAGGCCATCATGGGACTTCAGCTTTTATTCCAACTGTCTTGCAAAGTCAGTGGTGATTTCGGAGCAGGTGAATAATTTAGTGTAAATTTTTTATTGGTTATGCTTTCTATTTTTATATCTTAATGGAGGTATAAATGACACACAGTAAACTGTACATATTATAGAGTACAATGTAATCAGTTTTGATGCAACTGTGCATCCATGAAACCATTACCACAATCAAGATAATGAACATATATCACCTCATGTCCTTTTTATTTTTATATATTTATGTATTTGTTTTAAGTAACCTCCATGCCCAGTGTGGAGCCCAACACAGGGTTGAACTCATGATCCTGAGATGAGGACCTGAGTTTACATCAAGAGTCAGACACTTGGGACGCCCGGGTGGCTCAGTGGTTGGGCATCTGCCTTCAGCCCAGGGCGTGATCCTGGAGTCCAGGGATCCAGTCCCACAGCGGGCTCCCTGCATGGAGCCTGTGTCTCCCTCTGCCTATGTCTCTGCCTCTCTCTGTGTATCTCATGAATAAATAAAATCTGAAAAAAAATTAGAACACAAAAAGCACAAAGCATAAATAAATGGACATACTGGACTTCATGAAAATTAAAAACTTGGGACAAAAAAAAAAAAAAACTTGGGACACCTGGGTGGTTCAGTGTTGAGTATCTGCCTTTGGCTCTGGGCATGATTCTGGGATCCGGGATAGAGTCCTGCATGAGGCTCCCTGCGGGGAGCCTGCTTCTCGCTCTGCCTATGTCTCTGCGACTCTCTCCCTCTCTGTTTCTCATGAATGAATGAATGAATGAATGAATGAATGAATAAATAAGAAAATTAAAAACTTTTGATCTTTAAACACGGTAGCTGGTGTGTTGAGACCAGACTATGGGGGAGACTGGCAGAATCAGAGAGACTAATTAGGAGGCCAATGTAGTTGTGAGTCCACAATGAGAGCGTCAGTGGAGGTGGTAAGGAACGGGCTTACCATCTTATTTATTTATTTATTTTTTTAACTTATGATAGTCACAGAGACAGAGAGAGGCAGAGACACAGGCAGAGGGAGAAGCAGGCTCCATGCACCGGGAGCCCGACGTGGGATTCGATCCTGGGTCTCCAGGATCACGCCCTGGGCCAAAGGCAGGCGCTAAACCGCGGCGCCACCCAGGGATCCCGGGCTTACCATCTTAAAGGTGGAGGACACAGGATTTGCTGATGGATTAGAAGTGGGACGTTAGAGAAAGAGGAGTCCAGGGTCACTCCAAAGATTTACCGAGATGGGGAAGAGCAGGTGTGGGGGAGGGAAGGCTGTGTTCTGAGCAGCTTATTTAGTAGCCACGTGCAGGTGTCCAAGAGGATGCAGGTTGGAAGGTGTGGAGCTCAGGGGACAGGTGAGGCTGGAGAAGCACATCTGGGAGTCACCAGAAAGCTTCTGGCCCTCTCAGAGTCTGTTGCTTTTTCCATAAATGGGAATGATAGTAGTACCCACTTTTTAAAGTGTATATTAAGGATAAAAATTAAAGAATACTTTAAGCACAGAATAGGTATTTACTTCTTGACAACTTGTTTTACACTGATGCTTACTCATTCCATGGACAAAACAAATGGATGGCACAGTGCACAGTGACTCTGCGTGAGGTCTCTGCGGTGGACTCGAGGATTCCTGTCCTTATGTCATTAGCTACCTGGGTGATGCATGCCTCAGTTTTTTTATCTGTAAAGTGGGCATAACCGTAATACCGACACACGGGGTTATTATGAGAACTAGCTGAGATAACGGAGCATCATTTACGCGGCGCTCGGTAAAGGTATTTATGTATTAGCGGAAGAGGCAAGTGTTGCACAAATAACGCGTTCAGCCTCCGCACTCGGCCGCCTCCTCCGCCCGAAGACGCCCTCCGAGCGGCCCCTCCCCACTCGGCGGCTCGGCGGCGGCTCCCCGGCGGTCGGCGCGGAGTCCTGTCGCTGTTCACAGCGTCACCTCCCGGCTTCGGAAGCCTGACGGAACTGCAGCGGGCACGGCGGCTCCGCTTCACCGTGAGCCCAGGGCCCGGAGCCGGGCGCCCAGGGAGCGCAGAGCGCAGGCGGAGCGCGGCTCCAGCCTCGGCCGAGAGGACTCCGCACGCGGTTAGGGCTGCGAGCGGGACCCGCCGTCCGGCGCCTGAGGGCGGGAGGACTACAACTCCCAGCGGTCTGCGCGGCGCTTTGCTCCTTTTGTCGCGCGGCCGCCAGGGGGGCGAGGCCTATATAAGCCCCCAGCTGCGGCGCGGCCGTCCTTTTTCCCAGCCGCCGTGGTGCTGGCGAGTCCTCGCACCGAGCCGCTGCTCTGCCGCAACGCACGCCCATCCTCCTCCCACCCCGCCTTGGCGTCGCCGCCGTTGGCCCCGCACGCACCACAGCCTCTTGCCGAGGCCACGGGATGTTGGGAGCGGCTCGGAGCTGCCGGGCCTCCCGGCCTGCTGGGACTAAGGCCCGGAAGGCCGGGTCGGCCGCATGCGCGGTGAGAAGGGCCGGAGCCCGGCGGGGCCGCACATGCTCCCGCCCCGCCCCGCGTGTCCCTGCTCTGCGGGGCGACGGGTGAGTAACGGCAGTCCTGGGCCTGAAGTGGCTTAGTTGGGGAGACGCCGCCCTGGGGTGTTCACCAGGACTTCAGATCTGAAGTTGAATCTGCCGATTACAGCTACCCGTTGGGTGACCTTGGGGAAGTAGCTTCACCTGTCATCTGGCTGCACAGCAGGTTGAGGAGTTCATGCAGGTGGATTAAACGATAGGGTTTCTAGGGGTCACGTTTTAGAGTCCTTGAGGTCCTTATTAGTAGGTAACTTAATTGGTCTAAACGTATCTGTAAGATAAATGGTCCTGTGTAGATTAAATGAGACAAAACTCTGGTACATAGTAAAATAAAAGTGGTAACTGGGACTGTGTGTTCTCAGGATTCCTCGCTGGCTCAGTCCGTAGAGCATGTGACTTTTTTCCCCCCCGATTTTTTTGAGGGAGCACAGGGAGCCCAACCGGAGGCTCCATCCCAGGACTCTGGGATCATGGCCTGAACCAAAGGCAGCCACTAGCCACCCAGGCGCCCCAGAGCACGAGACTCTATCTCAAGGTTGTGAGTTCATCCCTAAATCTCGATTTAAAAAATAATTTGTCTTTGCCTGGCTGGAACTGAAGACAGGAAGATCAAGACTCTTAACCTGAGCTGAGCTCCCCCAGGCGCCCCAAGGGTATCTTCTCTTATTTGGTCTCCAGTATATTTCAGTAATAAATTCCAGTTGGGCAGTAGTGCGTGGCTTTTATGGGAGTCTGACCGTTGGACAGCAGTTGGGGCGGTCTTGGGAACCTGAATTGCCCTGTGGCCCTTATCGAAGCTGCAGCTGCTTCCACATAGCTGCTGTGGTCAAAAAGGAGCCCAGAATGACAGTTTTCCTTGACGGTCGCCGTTCTGTTTGATGTAACTGATCTGCAACATTTCAGGAAAAGACAGTTCCTGTGTACCTTCCATTTCTCAGGTATAGGTGGAGTCCTTTATTAAAATAGACCGGTCTCCAGAGGCTAGCAGGAACATTCTGTTGATGGGGCCTCGCATATAGTTACTGTCAAAACTTTTGGGAAGTAAATTGCTGAGACCAAAAGCCAGTACGGAGGCCAGGGGAGCGGGTTGGACAGGTGTACTGGGAAAATCTAGAGGCATGTGGTACAGATCTCAGCAGTGCTTTGGGTCACTGCCCTGAACAGTGTAAGGCATAAGTACCAGGTTCAGAAACCACACCTTGGATTCTGAAGACGAAGACCTCGAGAAGGGAACAGTAAGATCATTCAAGACAACTGTTTTCTCATCTTAGCTGTGCCGGCTGAAGATTCCAGGATGACTTTGAAGTTGAGCTTTCTAATGAGGATTCTGGGGTCATGACTGATGGAACACAACCACCTCGGGACCTGGTAGGTCTCTGGGAACTACCTGATGGGTCAGTTCAGCATGTTTCCAAGGGCTGTGGCCGGTTGTGGCCATGGGATCTCCAACTGCATGCGAGAGCAACCTGGAGAGACTTTGACAGCACAGGTCAGCATAATACCTGCAGCTGCCACTCGCCTTTCCTATAACCACTCAGGACCTGGGCCAGAAAGAAGCCTTCTGCCCCAGTCTAGGTGTTTATATAAATGTCCATGTGGTTGGGTGTACGGATCAACATTGTTTAGAGCTTTCACACTTTTCTCTGCAGGCTGCCCCCAAGTGTCCTGGCAGCGTCTGCTACTAAAGAATCCAAGGATACCAAGGTGTTGCTGTCCTTTAGACAAGGTAAGTTAGATGTTGAAGACAGCCTGACCCTCCGGTTCCCTTTCCCATCAGATCTGAACGCTGGTCTTGGTGGTCGTAAAAGGAGGAAAAGGAAAAGTGAATCTGGTCCTGCAGTGCTTATAGTCTGGTATATAGCTTGTGGGCTAGTTTCAAACAAGGTTTGAATTCTCTTTACACTGGTTTCCTCTTCTCTGTGATTGTCTTAGGCTCTTTTTTTTTTTTTTTTTTTAAGATTTTATTTATCATGAGAGAGAGACCTAGGCAGGCTCAATCCCAAGACCCCGGGATCATGACTTGAGCCAAAGGGAGAGGCTCAACCACTGGGCTACTCAGGTGCCCCAATAATCTTAGCCTTAAAGGGGGGATGTATGTGAAGCTCCAGGCAGCTGTAGTGATTGCTGACTTAATTCTATGTTTGATAAATATCAATGGCTTTCTTGTCTCTTGATTGAGTGTCCTTTTCGGTTGTGGTTTTTTTTTTTTTTTTAGATCTGTTCCCAGTAAAGTTGTCCTTGTCTGTGATTATGGATCCATAGTTGGGTAAGTTGGCTACCTGAAACTTCCATAGCTTCCTTGCAGCTTTGAGTAGTGCTTGAGCTTTGTGAATCCTGAGTAGTGTAGTGAATCAGTATAAGCCTACTCAGGCCTTTGGGAAAGTCTTAGCTTTTTCATACATCATTTACACCTGATCTCCGTGTGTGCCCTACTAGCTGTTAATAGCCAGAAGATAAAAATTTGCCCACTCTGTTGGAAGGCCAAGAGCACATGTGCTAGAAGATACCAGATGCCAAAGCCCTGCACCCCTTTGGTGGCAAGGGCTGGTTGCTGTGAGTGCACTGTAATGGTTTGAGCTCATGCTGAAGTTTGGGGAAACCTCAAACCATGGAATCTTACTGGCCCCTGTCCTGGGAGAATGGGAGATGGGTTGGGTAAAAAGAGATAGTTCATCTAGCAGGTTTTTTAGGCTGACTGGTCCAGGATGAAACCTAATCTGAGTGGACATCTATGGATGATAAATGCGGATATGGGACTGAGACCAGCTCTTCAGAAAAACCCAGCGTGGCATTAATTAATTGGGGATGTTAACACGCTGGCTTATACTTCCTTTTTAGGAGAGAAACACTATGGGATGAGGCAAGTTGAAAGACAACAGATGATTCTAGTGAAGAATCACGACCTCTGTATTTCTGTGAATGCTGGCACAGGGCATGTAAGTGACCAATAAAAAATTTGGAGTATGTTTGTGTCTTGTCTTTTTTTTTTTTTAAGATTTTTATCTATTCAGAGACAGGCAGACACAGGCAGAGGGAGAAGCAGGCTCCATGCAGGGAGCCAGACGGACTCGATCCTGGGTCTCCAGGATCACGTCCTGGGTTGCAGGCGGCACCAAACCACTGCGCCACCAGGGCTGCCCTGTGTTTTAATGTCTCTTGAATTGCTGGATATTCCATACCATTACAGTGTCCATCTTTCCATAAAAATAGGTTGACCTCTAGGACAACATGATCAATTCCATAACTGCCATCGTATATAATTTCTCCTTTAATAGGCCTGAAAATTCAGGCAGAGCCTAAGACATGTCCCCTAAAACATCTGAAGGCTTCTTCTTGACTTAAGCTATTTATCTTAAGTTGCCCTTGTTGTGGCCCCTCCCCAATATACAATTTCCTGTTGCACAGAAGTAGAGAAGTTCTGATTTTCCACATGGGTTCTGGAGAAATTCATACCCATCAAATGAAATTAAGGTCAAGAAACAGGTGAGCCAGGTACACAGGTCACAGTTAAGACCCTCAACATGGGTTTGTCTGAGTTGCTCTAGGAGCATGCCCCCAAGTCTAAAGCCTTCTAGTCTAGATTTAGCTGGTTCCATCCCATCCTACCACACATTAGGCCATGCAACTTCCTTCCCAGCTGGAAATCTAGCCTGCAAACTTTGGGGGGGGGGCCCTCTGGGTTAAAAAAAAAACCCTGATCCACTTTCATTAATAACCCCCAAACTCTTTATCTCCAAGAGAGTATAGATAACTCAACCTGGGAAAGTTGTTTAAATACAATTAGAACCTTGCTCAACAGTGCACCCTGGTTTTCAAACTGGGAAGGCTGATGGGCAAATGAAGGCAGCGGTGTTGCAGGAATGTCAATCTCAGAAGAGTTGATTACTAAAATCTTACAAAACATTTCCAGAAAGGTAAAAGTTCTTCCAATATTACTGTTAAAAAGGAGTCTCTCATCTCCTTCACACAGTCCATCCATTTCGGCTTGTCCTCTGTCCTGACTACATCATGGCAGGGATTTCTGAAGATACGCTGTCGAGGGGCTGCCAGTGACAGTCCATAAGGGCATCATATAGCTCCTCGCTCTGCTCCATGAACTCTTTGTTGGCCTCTGTCACATCCAACTGCGGCATGGGATCTGCAAGAGAAGTCAGGGTGGGTTCAGGGCACCTGGAGAAGCACTCCAAGGCTTGGACTCCATTCCCTCCTCCCAGGGCTTCCTGTTCCCCACACCCAAGTTCCCTGTCCTTTGAGGATCAAAGTAGAGTCTACTTAGAGAATGCAACAGTAGTACTCAAATAATGGTGGCTGTTAGTCCATCTCGTATCTCTGGACTTTACATGCCCCGGCTTTCCTGGTGTGGGCCTTACTTCAATTTTGGGTTATGGAAATCTGATCAAGACTACTAAGTCCAGAGCACTATTCTTCAAAGGGAACATTATAGAGCAATGAAAATGAGCCTCGGCTGCATTCAACTTGGTGGATCTCACAAATGATGTTTAATTTACCAGGATGTGCACCGAGTAATGTATAGAATTGTCAAATCACTATACTGTACACTCGGAGCTAATATACCTATATGTTAACTATAGAATTTTACTGAAAAATGATGTTGAATGAAAAAAGGACAGTACATACAGTACAGTACAACTGCATTGTATGAAGTTAAAACAGGCAAAACTAAATCATGTTACTTAAGGATGCATTGATCCTAGGTGGATCAATGGTTATCACAAAAGTCAACAGTTTTCCCTAGCAGGGTTGTGACTGGGAAGGATAGCTTCTGGAGGCTGGCAATGTTCTCGATCCAAATAAAGGTTTCACAAGCAATTGCTTTATAATTACAGAACTGTATACTTGTTTTACATACTTTTCTATATACATTATTTTTCACAAAGTTTTAAAACTCCTTAATCACTATGACATAACTCTTTATAGACTTTTACTTGTAGTCTTGTGTTGGTTTAAAATGCACACACACACAGGGCAGGGCGCCTGGGTGGTTCAGTCAGCTAAGTGTCTGCCTTTGGCTCAGGTCATGATCTCGGGATCCTGGGATCAAGCCCTATGTGGGGTTTCCTGCTCACCAGGGAGTCTGCTGCTCCTTTTCCCTCTGCTGCTCCCTACTACTTGTGTTCTCTCAAATAAATACGTAAAGTCTTTTAAAAATAAAATGTAGGGGATCCCTGGGTGGCGCAGCAGTTTGGCACCTGCCTTTGGCCCAGGGCGCGATCCTGGAGACCCGGGATTGAATCCCACATCAGGCTCCTGGTGCATGGAGCCTGCTTCTCCCTCTGCCTGTGTCTCTGCCTCTCTCTCTCTCTGTGTGTGACTATCATAAATAAATAAAAATTAAAAAAATAAATAAAAATTAAAAAAATAAAATGTTTAAAAAATAAAAATGTAAAAAATAAAAAATAAAATGTACAAACATACCCATTCATTAAAACACTTATTTTACAATTAGAGAAATTAAGGAGGACCTAACAAAATAGATATCCTGTGTACATTGGAATATGTTGCTTAAGATAGCAATACGCCCCAAACTGATCTATAGATTTAATGTAATCCCTTGTCAGCTGCTTTGTTTAACAAATGGAGAAGCTAATTGTAAAACTTAGATGGAAATGCAAAGGATTCAGAATAGCAAAAACAATTTGGAAAAAGAACAAAGTGGGCAGCCTGGGTGGCTCAGCGGTTTAGTGCCGCCTTCAGCCCGGGGCATGATCCTGGAGACCCTGGATCGAGTCCCTTGTGAGGCTCCCTACCTGGAGCCTGTTTCTCCCTCTGGCTGTGTCTCTGCCTTTCTCTCTGTCTCTCATGAATGAATGAACGAGTGAATAAATTTTTTTTCTTAAAAAAAAGAAAAAGTTCAAGGACTTCTCCATTTCAAAAACTATTACAAAGCACAAAGAATAAAGCTAGACTCTCCACACTTTACACAAGAATGAACTAAAAATGGTTTAAATAAATATAAGAGCTAAAACTCTAAACTTTGAGAAGGACACGGGCGTAAACAAGCAGTACCTTTTAGATATGACACCATTTAAGCACAAACAAAAGAAAAAATAGGATTTCACAGAAATGAATGTTTGTGCTTCAAAGGACATTATCTAGAAAGGGGAGAGATACCTCATGGAATGGGATAATTTGTAAAACATATGTCTGATAAGGAACTAGTATCCAGAACAGAATATAAGGAGAACTTATAATGCAACAATAAAAAGACAACCCAATTTAAAAATGGACAAAGGGCTTGAATAGACATTTCTCCAAAGATCTACACACACACACAGCCAATAAGCATACGAAGATGTTCAATATCATTAGCCATTGGGCAGCCCAGGTGGCTCATCAGTTTAGCGCCACCTTCATTCAGCCCAGGGCCTGATCCTGGAGACCCAGGATCAAGTCCCACACCAGGCTCCCTGCATGGAGCCTGCTTCTCCCTCTGCCTGTGTGTCTCTGCCCCCCCTCCCCCCTCTCTCTCATGTCTGTCATGAATAAATAAAATCTTAAAAAAAAAAAACCCGTATCATTAGCCATCAGGAAACTGCATATCAAAACCCCAATGAGATACATCTTGAAGCCCACTAGGATGGCTGTAATAAAATTGAGTAACAATCTACTGGTGAGGATGTGGAGAAAGTGGAGCCCTTGTAGGAATGGAAATGGCGCACCCATTTTTGGAAAAGTTTAGTGGGAATGGAGAATGCTGCAGCCCTTTCAGAAAACTCTGGTGGTTCCTCCAATGTAAAGAGTTTGCCATATGATCCAGCAATTCCACTCCTATGTAATGAAAACTTATTTATGTCCACACAAAAACTTACACATGAATGCTCATAAGTAGTATATTCATAATACTACAAGTGGAAACAACCCAAACATCTATCAATAAAATGGATATCCACAGAATGGAATGTTGTTTGGCCATAAAAAAGAATGAAGTAATGACACACTCTACAACACTATGGTTAAGTGAAAGAAGCCATTCACAAAGGACCACACATTATATACAGTTCCATTTATTTAAAATGCCCTGGTGCACCCAGCTGGCTCAGTCAGTAGAGATGCAACTTTACTTTCAATCTCAGAGTTGAGTTCAAGCTCCACATTGGGAGAGAAGCCTACTTAAAAAAAATTTTTAGGGATGCCTGGGTGGCTCAGTGGTTGAGCCTCTGCTTTTGACTCAAGGCATGATCCCGGGTCTGGGGATCAAGTTCCATGTTGGGCTTCCTGCATGGAGCCTGCTTCTTCCTTTGTGTCTCTGCCTCTCTTTCTGTGTCTCATGAATAAATAAATAAAATATTTAAAAAAAATTTTTTTTAGGGCACCTGGGTGGCTCAGTGGTTGAGCATTTGCCTTTGGCTCAGTTCATGATCCCGAGGTCCTGGGATTGAGTCCTGCATCAGGCTCCCTGTAGGGAACCTGCTTCTCCCTCTTCCTGGTCTCTGCCTCTATCTCTCATGAATAAATAAAAACCTAAAAAAATATATTAAAGAAAAAAAAAAAAAACCCCACCCAGAATAGGTACATCCAGAGACAGAAAGTAGCTGAGCAGTTGCCAGGGGCAGGAGGGGCTGCATGTGGAGAGGGACTGCCACTGGTCTGGCCACTGGTCACAGGAATTAGTGGTAATGGGTATACAGCTTTGTGACCCTTCTAAAAACTACTGGAGGGCAGCCCCAGTGGCGCAGCGGTTTAGTGCCATCTGCAGGCCAGGGTGTGATCCTGGAGACCCGGGATGGAGTCCCACGTCATGCTCCAGGCATGGAGCCTGCTTCTGCCTCTGCCTATGTCTCTGCCTCTCTCTCTCTCTGAATAAATAAATAAATCTTTAAAAAAAATAATAATAATAATAAATAAATAAATAAATAAATAAATAAAAACTACTGGACTGTATGTGTACCTTAAAAGGTGAAATCTGAAAATAAATAAAAAGGGTAAATAAAAAGGGTAAAGTC